AAACGTGTAGACATGGTTCTTCAGGGCATGCTCTAGTGCCCAAGATTACTGGTTTGTGGTGGGGTGCTGTGTGGGTGGGTGATGGTTTTTTGGTTGGAGGTTGTTGTTGTGTGTTTAGGTGGTGGGGGCTGGTGTTGGTTGGTTGGGTGGTGGTGTGTGTGGTTGTTTTTTTTTTTTTTTTTTTTTTTTTTTTTTTTTTTTTTTTTTTTTTTGTGGTTGGACTTGATGATCTCAGAGGTCCCTTCCAACCACTAAGATTCTGTGATTCTTATTTGAGCACATCAGAGGCACAGCAAGCCACACCAGTCTCACCTTGAAATGAGCAAGTCCTTAACAGAAAGGGAGGAACTAAGTAACATACGACTTTCTATCAACGACAGTCTATGATTTGCCATCTCAGCAAAACTTTTAATTTAACAAGAAGGGATAAGGTTTCTTCTTTAACTCAAAGGATAAAAGATAATTATTCTATCAGATACAGCACAGAAATTTAATGAAAAAAAATCAGCAATTAAAGTGAAAAATTGTGCATGAATTTTATTATAATACATCTGTTTCCTGAGCAAGATTTACAACACAACATGCAGATGCATTTAATAATTTACTTCACTATACATTCTGCACTTGTGACAGTGCACTTGTGACAGTTGTGCAACAAAAGTAGCAACTGAGACAGTTTCCAGCTTTTAGTAATTTCAAAAAGTGACAGCATCGTCAGTAAACAGAGCTTTACTTTTAGTAGTGTCAGTGTTAAGTATCCAATGCCTAACAAGCTGAAGTGATTAATTTTAGCAGCACATCTAAAGCTCTTTAGACTTCAACACAACTTCTACATGAGAAGTTTCAGCAGCGTTCATTACATTTTTTTCACAATCTTAGACATGAAAGTAGAATCAGGCTCTTTTCTAATGGATCAATTGATTAAAAATGCAGAAGGAAATAGTAACGGTAGGAAGACAAACAGAATCTCAGCACAAGTAACTTATGTCAGCATTAATTCTGACAAGTTCTTCTGATGAAGTGCTGAGCTTATTGCGAGAGTCTACATACACATACAGCAAACAAATGGCTCCCCAAAATGTAATTACTTATTCAGCCAGGTAATGCTGTTGATGGTCATTAACAAAAATGGTGTGCAGCTGGGGCTCAATTCCACATCCTTATGAAGCCCTAGATATTTAATTATGAATCATTTTATTTCAGGAAATGCAAGGGAATTCTGGACATCCCAATAAAGGACATTATTCCTTTTAAAATGTGAGTATTGAACATTTTGGGAAAAGTTGTGAATCTAGCTTTTGTTAACTTTCACAATTCACTGCACAACAGAGACAATTAAAAGCTATCTTGAAAACAGAAACCTGTTTGCCAAGGCATGTTACAAACAATTTAAGCAACAAAGCAGCCATGACTTTTGCAATCACAAGTGCAGTTCTTCCAAAATTAATGAATTTAGGTTACACTAAACCATGACACAACTATATTCCTGTGTTTGCCCAAAAAGAGAAGATATACAACGACATGCAGTGCAGATGTACCACCGATTTCAATGCAACACACACCAACCATGTGTGAAAACTCAAAAAAATGGGCCTGGATTAACCTGACACCACACCACTCTACATGCTACTGAGAAAGAGAGGGTGAGGGATACAAGCGGAATACATGTTTTTATTTTCCAGCAAAGCGAAGTCGGAGATGTAAGGTGAACTGAGAAGACTGGCAAGATTATTGGCTAGAATTCACTTAGTAAAACACTAATCACATTAGTTCATAGCTGTGCTCATCTCTGAATGAAGAATTATTAAATGTAATAATGAAGACATAAAAAAATAAATTACTGTTTTATCTTTCAGTTTGGCTGTCAACTTCATGTTCTTTAGGAAGCTCTAATACTTTAATCTGAACCTTATTCTAACTGACAATGGAAAAAACAGCAGCAGTTTATAGACAGGAAGACTAACAACTGCTGCTGAATGACACAAGTTTTCTCTTTTGTGTTTTGAAAGAGCTCAATTATGCTGCATCAGTGAACACTTGATTGCAGGATGGCCCAACAATCTGTGACAGAGCACCCTGCTTGGCACTTACATGCACAAAGATGCTTAAATAATGACCCAGTTCCCATGTGAAGAGTGCTGCTATTTAAGCTGCAAACAGTCAACAGTTTGCACACAATAATAGCACTTTGAAGTATATTAAAAATCCTAAACACCTTTAAATGCTCTAAATGAAGGAGCCAGTAGTGTTAAAAAGGGATGAGGGAAAACGTATTTCAGATTTGTAGCACAGACAAACACTTTTAAGAACAAACACTTTTCAGAACTCTTTGAAACTCCTGGAAGGCCCCTATTACCCAATGTCCATGATCAGAGAGGACATATGTATTGTTTTATGTGGAAACACTAAAAATGCTGACATAGCACAACAGGAAAAACCTGATACATACCTGTAAAAAGTCTCTAGGAAAAGAAAATTAAAATGTTTCCCTTTATCATACGCCAAAACATGTTCAAATTTATCTACTAAACCCATATTGCAAAGGAACCTCTGGTAACATTCACTGTTTAAAAAAGCACACAGAAGAGATGGATTCATTAAAATCATGCGTGTCTAGCTAAGCTGATATCCCCTCTAGCAAGACCCCCCTCCTCTTCAGGCAGACTGTAGTGGTACTGTGCTCCCCAATGCTCCCTCAAGTCAATGATTGTCACAAATGTGGTGGCCACACTGACAGATTTCGTGCCATGCAAGACTGCAGTATTAGGTGTTAGCAGTGGAGAACTTTTAAAACGTCATGAGCATATCCCGTTCTTGGACGCTAGTGTAGAAGGGCCTCCCAAAGATAAAGGAATGCAGACCTGGTTTAATCTTCTCAGCCAAAGCCATTATTATGTTAAGATCGCCCTCTGCTGTTAAGTCAAGATCTATCTTTAAGCTACGAAGAGACTTAAAAGGTTTTTTTCCTTTTTGCCTGCAAGAAAATAAAAAAAAGGGTGTTGTAAGAAAGCACAGAGGAAGTTTCTCAAAGCCTGTTTTCTATTATAAGTTCACTTACGTGTCATCCTCTATGTATTTTATTAAAGTTAAGGCTTTTCTGTGAAGGACAAGCAGAAATTGTGCAAGGAAAGTACTCCTTAAAGACAAGCCAGGCTTCAGATGAAATATCTGTTAAAAAGTATACCAGAAAATTAGGTAGACATGGAAATTCAAGAATCATTTTAAGAATGTGGAATATAAAGAAACATTGCATGCACACCTAATATCCTTAATTACAGCAAAGCAGGCACATTAACAGCAGATTTGTATATATGCTCTACATTCTCAATTTTCTAGCTGCTCAGATGCAATAAATCAAGCTGCTTTACAGTTCTGCTTGGATAAAGTATTATTTTCCTTTTTAAAATGATCTGAAATCAAGCACTGGCAGACAGCTTTCTCAATACTGTAACTGTAGACACTGTTGCACAGCACAAGTAAAAAATGTGCATTGTTTTTCATACCTAAGAAGGATTTTCGGTATTATACTAATACTACAAATTACATAAGCATTCTTATCTCTATTTACGCAGAGAAGAATCAGCACCAGTATCAAAAAGACCTACCAAGTCAAAAAATTACCCATTCATCTTAAATTATCTAGGGCTCAAAATACTGGACTTTAGATCTTGTTCTTTCTGAAAAAGCAATAATTTACCTGATCCAAGAAGGCTTTTACCAATGTATCTCGATGCAGGATATCTTGAAAGACATTCCTATAGAAAAGAAATCAAACAAACTTATAAGGTAATGCCATGAAGGGGCACTAACTGTTCAGCAGTTGTATACAGCAATAACATTACCATTTACAATTTGGCAGAAACTACAAGTGAATTCAAAATTCCTGGTATTTTTAAAGCTAATACAGAATTTAATGCAAAACTTCTGGATGAAATTAACTAAGCTCACGAAAGCTATTGTGCACTTTCAAATACACTCAGCTTTGTTATACTTTTATTTAAAACAGGCAACAAGATTGACGTAACATGGTCCTAAGTATCACTGAAAATGAATTTCAGTAATAATTAACGTAACAAAACTACTGGCAGAACTGGTAAATTCCTCCAATGCAAATGCTACTACTAGAGCTGAAGTTGCTTCTTAAAAGCAAAAGGACATCATACACTTTATTAGAAAGTACTCTTTGTACTACTTTAGTCTCTTGTCCCACTCAAGGAACTTTGAGAGATGTTAGAGAGGAGTACATACAAATCAGGTGTGAAACTCTCATCTGTGTGGATAATATGATCTTGAGACATTTCTTCATCCGAATTAGCTCTCCAAAATGCTGTCAGCTCGGATCTCATATATCGTCGCTGGTTATAGATGTGCTCATGACAGGGGGGCATCTGCTTCACTGTATTGACATCTACATCTATGTGTGTAGTAGGATATGGGGCATACATCACTTGGCGGAAGGGCAACACAAAGCTTCCTGTTGCATCCTGTTTTAGTGAAAAAAATAATATTCTTCAAGTTACTTTTTTTTTTTCTAAAAAACCCAAAACTATATTGGAACAGAACAATATTAAAGCATCACACCTAAATTTTAAATCCTATTTGTTTAGACATGTTTTGTTTGAGAGAACTGATATGTGAAGCCCACTTCATACTGGACGATTCCCTTAATATAACAGTAAAAACGGGTACTGAGGTTACCTGTATTACAGTATTGCATCATCTGCCCATTATCATTACAGTATTACATTTAATTTGTTAAATTACACTGCTCACTAGAGCAAGAAACATTTTTCTACTCATCTTCACCCACTGCTACAGCCCTTTCAAAATACTGTAGGACTGAGAGACTGCTATTTTTTGGTTGTGGTACAACACAAAATCTTAATGCCTTTTGGGATTCCAGCCCCAAGTAGGCAAAAGATTATCATTATTGTTGTACCTCAAAGAACAGGAACAATTCTGGACTATACTCAAGAAACAGATATTTGAGAGAAAAGACTGGCTTGGAATTTTAACCTGCAAGTTGTTACAAGAAAAGCTGTAGCACCAGAAAGAAATCAAGAGACGATGACATATTTCTTTGAACATGAATGTGTGTATGTGTGTGCATATCATGTGCAGACATATACGTTGAAGAATGTTCTTAAACTACAGAAGAATAGAACTTTCGTAAGTGTACTTACTTTGAGTAAGCCTTGAACAAAAAGTCCTGACTCATATTTGAAGGAAGACTCATTTCTACAGAGTCTGGAACACTTCCGCTCTGACGGTGTAAGAAACAGACACAATGTTCGCACAATCTGCATTAAAAAGAAGAGTTTTGAAAAAATGAAAATGTAAGGAATGAACTGATCTTCAAATACAATTTCTGTCAGAATGTATTAGGCTTTTCAAATGATAAACAAAAAATTCATCAGGCTTATTAGAAAAGCCAAAACTTTACCAAGGTCACAGAATAGTGACAAGCTTAAATTAGTAAGATGTAGGCCATATTACTCCAACTTCTTGTCAAGCAAGGAAAAAATTTTGAAAAAGTTTGTTTTTTAGCCAAATACCTAGAACAAATCACTCTTGCCTTCTGCTACTTCTTCCTATTACATAAACACAAGTTACTGTGATTACTTTCCTAGCCTTTTAAGCCTCTTATAAATTCCATATTGAAACAGCAGCTATTGTCTCCAATCAGGCACGATTTCCTGAATAAGTATCTCTGCCTATTTCCTCTGTAATTTCCTCAAACTCTCCATTGAAAGCAACAAAGGTACTATTACCTGTTTTCAAACTCCCATACTGCAACAGCTACAAGTAATCATCTCCAAATACAAATACATATTCCATTCTGCTAATCTTTCAGTCCTAAACCTGTGGTGTCCTATCTGTGTTTGTAAGGTGTTTTGAGAAGGCTCTATCCTTGCACAATGTGTTTATGCAGTACCTAAAACAGTGACAACTTAATTTCTGAATAATGCTTTCCACCACTTCAGGAGGATGCAGTAGGTATTTTTTTACTTTAAGGAAAGGAAAAGTATGTCATAAAGAAAGCAATTACTTCAGAACAGATGCACCGTGACACAAAGAACACAATGCTGCTAAGAACATGAGTAGAATTTATGAAATTTATCCTGGATGTACCTTGAGACTCACACTCATCTAAGACTGTTTTTTCCCTACAGTGTCTATCTTGTCAAGATATTATTTTACATACCATTTGACCTTAAAGACTTTTAATGACATATTTAATGAACTATAAATTTACAGCTTCTTATAACCACTTAAGCATTTAACTTTTCCTCTATTATGCTAACTTAATCACGTGCAAGTCTTGCACCTCTGAAACAACACATATTAACTGCAATTAGTAGATTGCAGCTAAGAACTGAGGATTTTCTCTGTTGCTCACGATTATTTTTGAGTATCAGCATTTACTGTTCATTTGATCAGAGGTGCTTTACCATTACTGCCAATACACATGAAACAATACATTTCTACAATCTCCCCCCCAATTTTTGTCAAACATCATGAACCGCTTATTTCAAAACACAGGTTTACGAAAGGTGTCTTGAATTTTTTAAATAGAAGAATATAGTATTTCACTGTAGCAAGAAACCCTGCATACTATAAAATGCATAATATATAATATATATATTCTACAATTAATATATAATATATTCAGCAGGACCACTGTTCTTAATTTTTTTTTACACATTGAAGCAATACACACAGATAAACACATACATGTATCAAAAAAGGCATCAATTTTTAAATTTAAAATGCATTTTTCCTCAAAGGAAGGTTTCCGTCTTACAATATAAACCAGAGCTCAATAATTAGTACATCACAACTAAGAACACAAACGGACAGAAAAGCCAAACATACAAAAACATTCCTGATCAGAAAAATGACGTTATCTGAATATACTGCTTCTCCACATGTACCACTGCAGAACCTTTGTGTAGGTCTCAGGACATGCAACTATTGTTATTGCATGGCCCAGAGGCCCCCAGTATAAATTGAAAACTTATCACGCTACACAACTACACAGAACCTTACCCTCACAGCAATACTGGAATACTCATTAAGTGCAGTAGCGCCTAATACCTGAAAGCTCTAGGATCGCACACTTTTATGAAATCCTTCTTTTCATTCCCAGTGGCAGGGATATTCTGAATCAAAGAGGTTTACTAAAGGACTCAGCTGTGAATGTACAGATGCAACTGATTTAGTGAAATACATTTTCTCACAAAGAAAACATTTTCTTAATGATTTGTCTCTGAATATTCTAACTGAAAATTACCTTCAGTATTTTTATTAGAAGGGATGAAGTAACATCCTAATTAATGCAAGTCAAAGGGAAATCTCTCTGAACAAAATGCTGGTACATTGGACTACACTAAAATGAAATATGCTTTGAGAAATATTTCAACAGACAGTAAACACAAGTGTATGTCTTCCACAATTTTCAATTTATCTGAAACTAGCATTTTGGTATAAGCAAAAAGCTGTACACAAAAAAAAAGTACTTCAAGAATTCTGAATAAGGAAAACATTGTCATTTGATTTTTCCTTCACATACTGGATGAGTGTAAAATAAGCATCCATTTACACCAAAATATTAGAGGAAAAGCAGCGCAGGTGATAGTTTCATATTCATTCAAATTAAGTATTTCATAACAAGCTTAGAACAGAGTTAAAAATAGTAACAGCATGGGGAAAATATGTCTATCACAAAAATGTAATTATTTTCTTGTTCTGAAATGGCAGCTTCCAAGAGTGATGTTTTTTCCTCCCAAATAGACCATAATGATGTATATACTCTTCCCTGTTAAGAGTTACAGCTAATCCTGCTTATTCTTTCTAGACCTGAAAGCTTCATCATCCCTACAGGTGTGATCCAGCAAGTATGAAACACTGAGTGTTTGGCTGTTACAGGACTCAGTTTTAGGGATTTATATCTGTACTTTGCCTCTTTCTGGTTCTTCTGGAAAGCTCAGTCAAATCTAATTTAAGATCTACCAGTTCTGTACTGTACTGTACACTTATTTAACAATTAATTTTTATAGAGATTGAAGACTGAGTCAACACAAACACAGGTATGAAGGAAAAATGCTGGAATTGCTGGAACCATTTAAGGTCCTGGTAAGCTTGTCTGTTTCAACACTTGTGTGATTACAGACTCAACAGCTTTGATGTTCCATGAAACACACGCAGTTCATGACGCAGAAGTATACTTATTCCCCAGCATAAGAGTAATTATGCAGACACTAATTTCTTAAGAGTACACAGACGTTACCCGCTGACATAGGTGAACTGGGCAAGCCAGTTCAGACCTCTTCAATTTGTACATTTCAGCTAACACACCTAATTGTAAAAACTCAGACTCATTTACTACTAGTTATATACAGTACAAGTTCAATTAAATACACTTTCTTATAGTTGCCAGAATACAACTGATACAGCAATTTTCAGGCACAACTATCTTTTCCAACCCCAAGTATGTTTATAGATAAAACTTGTTCAAAATAACACACTAACACTCCTAATTATCAGCATTTAAGTTTGGTTTATTAGAAAGTGCATTACCTTATTAACTTTTTCTGCGCTGCTTCCTACGACTACAGAACAACCACAGGTCTGCAGGTGTGAACTAATTGCACTGCAAATACAAAAACAGGTGAATACATTTAATCACACTTTTCAAATAACAATTATCATCTTCACAAGAAGAATGAAGTGCTTCCAGTACAAATATAGGCCCATACCCAAAGGATCTCACACAGCTGTGCAGGTTACTGCTGAAATCCAAAAGAAATTCAACAGTAAATTCAACAGTATCTGCATTTTCATTTTGATGAATAAAAAGACGGTCACTCAGAACCTCTGAACACCAGTTCAGACAAAAACTGTCTACTGTTGCTATCTAACTGTATTACAGAATCCGTATAAAATAACTCATCTAAAGTAACAGAAGACATTAATAATGAAGGATTTGAGAGTAGATCTATTTCATGACTGTCCTCATTTTCTGAAACTGTGGATCAGAAGACAGTTCTGGGAGACATGGCAGGTAAACTGTTCTACTGTCAGTGACTGCACAAGCATGAGCATGCCACAAGCTTGAGTCCCTCAGAATACACACAGGCATGCTGGAAGTCAAGTGATCTTGTCTTGTGGATTGCAAGCAGCACAGATCTGATTTAGACTATCTTAAGTTTGGAGGCTACAGTAGAAATACCTGGACTAACTTTGACAATTCTTAACTTGCCCTTAAGAAACTTCTGTTGAGGTGTCTTACCCTCATCTTCCCTTTCCCCCTGCCCTTTCTCAGACCAACTACCGACCCACAGCTTCAAAAATAAACTTAACACATCAATTTCTGTAGTACTGAAAGCATATGTGACACTGTATAAATAGATAAGCAACACATAAATGAATGCAGTTACACCTGGGATGTTCTGGCAGGTAACAGAGCATCGATTAAAACCTCTGAAATATGCTTTCCCACATGAAGAAACCAAGTTGCTTTCAAGTGAACCTCCTTCCACTTTCATCCTCCCCCCTCCTATAAAGAAAATTAATCTAATACATGTTCACATGCACCTACAGATATATATATATATATGCACACACAAGTTTAAACCATTTTACTACAGCATAAATCAAAATTGAAATTCATACTTGAGGAGAAAGCCTTCATGGCAACTATCCCCAATGTCATCATCATTTAGCACTGTGTCACTTATCTGAAATGCAAATAAATATAAACAAAGGTTAGACAAGGATCTGTAAGATCTTCCAATTAATTGATTTTTGTTTTTAATGATAGGTAGGAACTGTTTGGGAACTATTTAAGCTAAGCTGTAAGTCTGTCCCAAAAAGCACAACTTTAAAAAGACCTTTTGGCTTCAGACAAAGCATTCTGAAAATCAGAAAGTCACTCAATTATTGGATGTTCTTCACCAGTCACAAGTCAGATTCCTCCCAGTACTTTTATTTCTATAACCTTATCCAGAATACTTTAAATTCCTGCATGTGAGATCACTTTCACTCCTTTCATGAGAACACTAAAGCACACTGAAACAGGTATAAAGATTAAAACCATCTACTTCCCCATTCATATTGTTTTGCATCAAATAGCCTTTCCACTCCACTCTTAAAATTGGTATAATCCTACGCAGTCAATTTTGCTAAGTGCTGACCATAAAAAACCACTGCTAGTACTGTTATATTTACTGAACTAAAACAGTTATGTTAAGCCATTCCAACCACCACTTAGGAGATCGTGATGTGAAACGAGTGAAGTGTACAAGAATTTATGACAACTGTAGCGTTTCGTCTGCCAAGGACAGTATTGAACCAGAATGCCAAAGCCTCTTTTGTATTCAGAATGCAAAGAACACAAGGACTTACATCTATTTGTTCTGGAACACTGTGTGATTTCATAGATGAAAGGAGTTCCATTACAGGAATGACTTCTCCTGTCAGCATTGGAATGATGCTCTGGCCCTGCGCAATAAATAAAATGCTTGAAGAAATAGCACATTGTGCAGTATTAGAAGTCAATACTAACATGAACTTGCAACACTACATGCAAAACAACTTTAACTCCCTATTTTTTGGGAGCATGGTATAAGCAGAAATTGATACATAGACTTCTTGGGCTTTGCTCATCAGGAATTATGAACAGGAACCACAGATTTTGCTTCTCAACGTCATGTCTGAAACATATTTCCAGGGTCCTGTGCCAATTTTCACCATCAGTTTGAGTGGCCTGGACAGTATGTATTTGAAGTGAGACAATTTGATCACACCACATTACTCGCAATTACCGTTAAGCATTTTAGATCCAAGTTTGATGTTTCAACAATGATAGGAAACTAAAAACAGGCACATTAGTTATTAACATACGAAATGACTTATCTGATTTTTCTATCACAAGAATCTGAAGCCACAATTTCACATTTAGAGTTTCAAAAATCAAATTCTTTTCACAGTCTTATCCATTAGGTCTCCGACCACATTCCAACATAATAGACTCTGTACAAACTCTGTAACTGGAAAAGGCAACGACCTAGTGAAAAACCATCTTTGAAAGGAGGCGAGCATGAATCTATGGAAGCTACTACCTTTCCAGAGCTTCAAGTTCAAGTAAATGACTTCTATTTTCTGAAAGGTAATATTCTTCATAGATTTCCACTTTACCCATAAAGTGATGAAATATATTTTCCTTCAACTTGTTCACAACTTCCATCATCCTATCTTCAGAAACTTTGCCTCCTGTGCATGGCAGGTCATTCAGCCAGTCCAAAGTATCTTCCTGGATCCCAAAAATAAGAAGCAGCACCAACTTCTGCAGTCACCAGACGCAATCAAACAGTTTTGTGGTGGTGTGCCATATGCATCAACCAGACAGCCCTTACCTGATCCTCCATTCTCTCGGTGCCTTCCAAGACAATCTTCTGGAAATGTTCTTGCCTCTCCTGAGCAAGAGAAGCAGTTAAATATAAACACTATGGGATTTGTTTATATAGGTATGCACACAACAGTCAAATGGTACAGTTTCTTCCCTGTAGAGTCATGCTTCTTAGATTCAAATTTCGATGTTCAAGTCTTTTTTCTTTTACAGTGTTGACCTTAGCAGGAAGTGATGTCATTTTAAACAGATCAATGATCTCTGCTCTGCCCCCCACCAAACCTCTCACATGCTTGGGCAGGAGTAGCAGGAAAGGGAGGGTGCGATGACAATGACAGAACATTAAGTTTCTTCAAGAAAATGCCAAATGATCAGATTATGGTGCAGAATTCCACTTTATGTATGGATTTTTATTTTCAAATGGATAAGGTACAGACTGATGGTTCCTGATGCAGCAAGAGAAAAATGAGATATATCCAGCATGAGAATAATAAATTGTTGGGAGAGGGTAGGAAAAACAGAACTTCTTTCCCCCCCCC